CATGACTTATCTATTCTGTTAAAGCGAAATAAATTTGTGCAATTCATCTGCTCACTGTCTTTAGATACTAGTACTTGTGGTGAATGCTGTTATTTAATATAGTCTATTATTATACATCTGTCACTGTAACGCCATACGTTACAGCGTGCCGTAATTTTGCGGTATTTTACAGGGTATTTTCATCCTACCATATTAGGAAATGCTAATTCCAAATATGGAATGATTATACGCGTAAGCGTCTTCTAATAATAAAAACAAACATGGCTGCCACAAGGGATTGACCTGACTCCATACAAAGAAGTTTGCTGATTTCGGCATTCCCATGATGTATTCTTGGTAGGAAAAGATGTATAATAATAAGGTCATTACGAAGATACCTCAAAGTATGCACTCAGACAGTAGGCTGTCGCATCGACCTCCGCCGCGCGCCGGTTGATACTGCTGCTCTACTGTCTTCGTGCATACTTTGAGGTATCTTCGTATTAACCTTATATTATTTATTACTTATCTCATATCATAATTATTATTTTTTTTTAATAATGTAGGTGACAATGACCCAAACTCTCCAGAACAGAAAGAAAATAGTAAGTAAAGTTATTTTCTCATTAATTCCTGATGTGCCTACAAATGAAGACTTCATCTCAACATTGCCAAGTGCATCATACAATATATTTTACATACATGTATGTTTCATGGGATCCGTGTTGAACGGTGTGTACTGTATTTGCCGTTAGTATACTAAGTGTGCCTCTTATGAAACTGTATATACACCAATACATGCTGTTTTGATAATAGACATTCCTTTGTCATTTATGTAAGTGTAGTACTATTAACCCTTATCTGGTCAAGTCAATGCAAAAGTACATAGGGTTGGCAGATTAAGGATTAAACAATGCTGTGATTTTTTCAGGCCTTAGAAATAAACTAATGTTTCTGGTCAGTGTTCACACGGCCATAAATAGTGTTGGCCACTCCTTTTTCTCACTTTTTTTGTCACTCCATAGCACACTCGGTTGACAAACGAAAATATGTATCTTGTCCAATATTTTAGCAAAAAATCACCTCACTGCCCCATTTTTCAAAACAAATTCACCAGAAACATATTTTTTTGCAAGGTCTAACACTAACCCAGGGGTTTTTCTAGGAAAAAAACTGCAAGAGGGAGCACTGCAATTTAGCGGCGCCACCAAGTGGGTAAATAGGGTTCTCCCTACCAGGGTGGTGTGGAGTTTTTGATAATTCTAAGTTAAAATGGGGCATTCTATGGCTTTCTTGGAACCAAAGTTACAATCAGTCAGGTCACAGTTTAAGACTGTGAAGACATGTGATCCCTGGTAAATCAGAATTTTATGGTTGCTAGAGGATCTGCTCCCCAGGGTAAGGGGGCGCATGGCCATGGCATGAGGGCGCTGCACCCGTTCCCTTATTTAAAAAAATCCTGCTAACCTATAAGGTTATTACAAGATATTGCAGAAAAAACAATAACTTTATTGTATACTGGACTCATTTTGACCACAGACATACCTCTATCATTTAGTAAGCGCATAAACTACTGAGGGAGTATATTTAGCAATAATATAAAGTTTGTGTTTTTTTTGTTCTTGAGATTAACAGAATTAATACAAATTTTCAACTTTTTATTCATCCCTAGTTTCTAGTACAGTCATCATGGAATCTGATGCAGACTCTGATAGAGATGAAGATGAGGCAGGTCAAGGTTCAACAGCTGAGAGTAGAAATACCAAACAACCAGACATTGTAGATTATGCCAATGCTGCTACACAAGCCTATGATGCCATCCCAGATTCTGATTCAGAAGAAGGTATTAGACTATAATATTAATTTCCAGGACAACCACTCATTGAAAGGGGTTTTAATTTTACCTCATATCATATTCTGGTGAATGGAAATAAAATGCCCCTTTTTCACATACAACCTAGAGTTGAAAAATCATTTTTCAACCAGAATTCTTGCCCACATTTTCCTGCATGGTTTTCTTATATTTCTGGAAATGAACCCTAATTTTAGAGCTAACAGACAAAATTTGAGTAAATTTCTATTTTTTGCACAAAAAAATTTGGTTATTTTTGACCCAATCTCCTGAAAGAAAGTGCAGACTATAAACAGGACTATTTTGTGAATTTGTGATAAAAAGAGGGAATTGGTAGTGAAAAGCTTAATTGTGCTGGTGATGAAAAGTATACAGCAAGTTTGAAATGAAAATCAACATGAACACATTGCTGAGTTAGTACAGTCCACCAAAACTGTGAATAGCTTCCTTGGGTTGAGGTGATAATTACTTTCATTATTACAGTCCTGATTTTAATATCATACAAACAATCAATTTGTTTATGAGATGCAAATAAAATTCAAAAGCAAAATCCACCATAAGATTATTTTATGTACAAGTTGACTTGAAACTGTGTCCTTTGACTTAATAGGTCATGTCGGTTATTAACCAATCAAATTGCTGTGTTCTGTGAAAAGCGACATGATTTAAAAAAACATAAACAAAAACTGTGCATTGATAAAGTATTTAGCACTTTTCTTGGTTATAACAGCTTATTGCTGAAACTAAATTCATCCATACATTCACGCTAGTCACAATAAATATTCTTGAATAGTCATTAGTCAATAGTCATCAATGATGAAAAACATAAATTTCGGCTCTCATTTAGGAACCGTGAATAATTGAAATGTTCTGAAAACGATACCTCAATTAGAATAATTTTAATTGCTTTGCAAACACTGGAGCTATATCAACCAACAGGTTTCTTATCTATATGATTATTTTTCAAAACAAAATATCTATCAGGTAAATTAACGATTAATGTATGACCCTTAAAGCACAGGAGTCGTCGCGCTGCGCATGTGTGACATTTGTGTTGATAAACATTGATTTTCCCACAGTCCAATGTGCTCTTCAAATGGAAATCACAAGTATGAGGTTTAGCCTGGGTGCGATATGCACTGATTACCGCCGGTGACTCCTTGGTACCTTCGAATAACATGTAAATTATCTAATTAAAGCTTGGAAACGTCTCAGTTCATACTCATTGATCTGCGCAACAGTCAAAGTCGCCATATTTGTTTATATGAGACCCATATATATCGCACATGCCTAGCGCGACGACTACCGCGCTTTAAATAATGATAGTATAATGAATGCACGAAAATAATGTGCATAAGTTGTACTGTATGATATTCTAATTTGTCGATTTCATTTTTTTTTTTATATACGTAGAAAGTGAAGGTATGTCTATATTCTGTGCTGACACACAAGTATATGGAGTGGCTGGGGACAATCCTAAAAAGACCAGACAAGGTATGTATACAAATATATCAACAACTGCATCCTAAAAATATATTGATCAAGAAAAATTCTAAATTTGTATTAAGATTTCAAAATGTTGCTAGTTTAAAGGGTGGTGGTCGTTGTCACACGCAACGTAATATTACCGTAATTGGTATAGTACAGGTGTGATGGTTCAAATACCAAAATGGCAACAGTAACAGAAAGACTTCTCTGGCGGCGATGATAAAATACGAACACGGAGCCAACAGATGAGGTTTCAACTGGTACTGGTATTATTATACTCTGCAAACATCAAGTACAATAACGCGGTAAAACTCCACTACTCCAATGACTAGATACTTAAACTCCAATACCATTCAACGAGATCTCCGATCTGATCTCAGTGCTGAACAACTCCCCTATATATACCCACACTGTCTATAAATAGACCATTACATCAGCATACATAATGAGTCTGGAACTTACTACAAATTTCTAGAATGTTCCATTACCTTCTATTGCCTCCTACAGTGTTCTATTACCTATTAACCAGTTTCTAAAAATTCCACCCAGACACAGTACGGTTCTAGAACATTCTCAGTCACACGGAAGTGGTAAACAAGTCGTATGCGACAGTCGTGGTCGCACCTCGTATGTTTGAATTTCAAGTGTTCAACAATGTTTTTTGTATATGTCACTATGAGTCCCATATCTTACACTGCACAACAACACCACCCTTTATAATGTTCAATTAAGGAGCTTATTATGGAATCCACGCTTTTAACAAAACAACCACTTACCTGAGAACGCCGAACATTAAATTATTTCAAGTAAATTATCATATCATTTTTAAGCTGAAGATGCCATATATTGTGCAGCAACGCAGGCATATGGAGTAGGAGAAGATGATGATACTGATGTCAGTGATGAAGATGAGAATAATGGCAAAACAGGTAAGGGATCATTTTGGGTTTATCCTACGTTTTAACGAGAATCATTCCCAGCTGTAACGTACAGGGCCAATCATGTTTCTTGCTATTTTTTACTCCCATATTGATGTTTTGACTGGTACATGTATGTGTGTACATACGTTCTTTGGGTAATTTACCATCCAGATTAGTTTTGGGTTGCAATATGTGTATATTAATTACTCGATTTGCATAATAATTTGCAAATTTTACACTTCCGAAATTTATCTCAGGAACTACTCGACTTTTAATGTGGCTTGACTCAAATCATGGATGCAGCTGTACATTCCTACTGTGTTTATATTACAATTAAAACTTACAGGGACTATGTCATTAATCATAGCTGTTATATTTTACATGACAACCAAGCACCAACATTAAAGTTAAATCTTGATGAAGAAACTGATGATGAAGGGCCTGAAACAAATCTTACAGATGAAGCAACATTGGCATATAACCTTCCACATGACAAAGAGGAAGCCACCACACTGGTAAGATTTTCAAATACTGTGCGCCATTATCATGTGAGTGATAAATGTCACATGCATGTTGTTGTTTTTTATGCTAGGTGACTGTTCCGGACATCAAATGTCACTGTTGTCTCTTTTGACTTTTTTTTGTATTTCCAAATTGCAAGTGCTTGATACATAGTGCATATTTTGCCACAGAAGTCATATTCATGTTTGGACTACATGACAATTTAATGCATTACCCTGGTGTCAACCAGGCTCGTACGAACATAAGCACCTGTGGACCTTAACCAAGGTTCCCCCAAAATCGCATTCGTTAGGGGAATTGGCCTTCCCATTGAGTCTTGGCACACTCACCTAGGGTAGGAGTTGACTCTATTTGGTGTTCAGCCTAAGGTATGATTTGAACTGAGGTCCACCGATCTTGAGTCTGGTGCGACAAATCACTATGCCACCAGTGACTGGCTGTCAATTATTCTTCTTGCATTGCACATGGTAACTACTACTGGTATGTGTCGTAGGTTGTCTCTCATGTTATGATGAACACCAGAATATGTGGTGACTGACATTGTTAACATCTCGCCTTTCTTAGGCTGAAGCAGCGACACAGGTCTATGATGCTACAGATGTTGGCATCGATAGTGAACCAAGCACTGACTGTGATGAGAACGTCTATGAGGCTGCTACTCAGGCATATGGACTTCAAGATTATGATGGCGGGGGTAGCAGCACCGATGACGGTGGTGGTGGTCATGATAAAGCTGATAGAGACTGTGATGGTGATATGGAGCCTACTCAGGCTGAGGAACTCGAACAGACCCAACCTCTGGGTGGTAAGCAATCTTTCAAATATGTCACATGACCATGGTGTATATTATTGGTATGAATGGATGAATGAAGTTTATTTCACTATAAAACATATATACAGATAATTATATACATATGAAGTTGATGTATAAACAAATGAGTAAATAAAATAAAGTAAATAAGTCTATAATTTGAATTTTTAAATATATATATTTTTAGATATTTATATAAATTGTTTATAATGAGGATCACGTAAATAGTTCCCTAGAACTAGTCTAGTCCATGACCCTTTGTAAAGAATGAACAAAATAAACAGTAAATAATAATAATAAGTTATATACAAGTACTTAGTCAGGGATTGCGTTAACGCGGAATTCCGCGTCCGGGAAGCATAGTTTTTCTGTGGGACGCACGAATTTTTCAACTGGTGAGTCCCTGGGACGCATCCGGTGAGCACACGTCTCGGTCGTATTATGGTAGGTCTAAAGGCATTGTGTGCGTTTGCGATGCCATTGTCCCGCATACAAAGTTCATAGAGCTTGTAAATTGACCTAAAATAC